CTTAAAATGAAAATTACTTTGCATGTTGGATAGGCAGCATGCAAAGTGAAAAAAAAGGCATGAGAAAGACATTGCTTTACAAACCTTAAGACTTATAAAAAAAAATTGATATTTTGCATATGAAAGGATTGTAATTTTTACTGATAATCTGCCAAATCTCATTAATATACGCTTTTTAATTTAAAAGTTATAGCATGAAAATTATAACAAGAACAAAATGGTTACAAGGTCGGTCCCAGGGACTGAGCCCATGCTGAAAGAGTTAAACACTAAACCTCTTACCAAACCCAACTGAATTACATGCAAATAGAATATAAAAAAACACTCTGCTAACATGTACAATTTCACAATATTAAACACAAAGAAGCCTTGAAATATACATTTATCATACAATGTGATTACAACAAAAATAGAACAATACCCAGCTAAACAATCATATTTAAAAATATAAAATACACATTACAGAAAGAATTAAAATAATACACACGATGAGCACAGTGGTTACCAATATATTTTTTAATGCCTATAATAGTTTCAAAAAATTAAGTTCCCCCTCCCAAAATTAAGCATGCAGTTTAAGAAATGCAAAAGAAATGTTCAAACTTTATATTTTTGTTCTTAGAAAAAAAAAGTCTATTTGGTACAATGATAAGTTCTTTTTCTCTCTAAATCTAGTTTAAACAACATTACATAATGTAAAAATTAGAATGACAAACAAATTATAATACACGTAATCTGTTAATACAGTACAAACAAAATAAAAAATACTGAATAGAATGTATGATTCAGGAAGAAAATTATAAGTTTCTAGATACTCATATATAACAATGAATAATGACACTTGACCTAAGTATAAAGCACTCAGACAAACATAGTTACAAGACATGGCCTACATATACATGTAGTTACTAACTACACATCCACTTCAGCATAACATTCTAACAAAAGCAAGTACATAATGCTAGAGATAGTTATATCTGCAAAAAGAAAAACTATAATAAAATAATTTCAAGTGGAACAACAATTGTTGTTTGGTTAAGTTCAACCACCCATGAATTCTTTAGAAACTATGCTTTCTAAATGAGCTTTTCTACCACTCTGTTGATTCTATAACCACAATGATAACACATTGAATAGTTTATATTTGCATCCTGAATTAAATGTAGTCACAAATGGCTAGGCACAAGCTCTTGTGATGGTTCACTACACTATTTGTTCTTAAAAAATGGAAATTTCATTCTACATTATAATCTCAAAAGTGTATAATATTAACTGGTGAAATTATAAAATTAAAACATTGAAAAACTACAATTACTTAGAAATTAACATCATTCTGGTAATATTGTGAACACATCTAAAAAAATCTCTGACTGGATAAACTGTGTGTTATTCTGATATTCAGTAGTTAGATATGTGATCTATCTCTTATTTGTACCAAGAATAAGATGTGATTTGTTCCTCTGCTTGCTTTTTCCTCCCTCTCCTACTGCCCATCATTTGCAATCTAAAATGTTACATAAAATTTGTTCTAGGTGAAATACAAAAAAGCTTATAACGTAATGGGATAAACATTCCAGGTTATAACAGGCATATTGTACTTCAAGTTAATGTATGTATTTGAAGTAGATATGTTTTTAACATATGTTTAATTATTTTTTATGTGCACATAATAAAGGAAGTTATTTGTGAAATACTGAGCCAACCTCATATATAATTTCTGGTAAGAATTTTTTAACAAACTACTTAAGGATGTGAGATGAATATTTCAAAATAATTTTAAAAAAGTATTTGTAATAATTCAAGGTTATAATAAGTGTACTGTATTGTATTTGAAATCCCTTTTTATACTTATTTTAGAAAAACCTTATTACAGTGTTTAAAACAGCAAGATTCAATTAAATTTAAATTCATTTAAATGCTACATTCAAATATTCCTGCATAAGAGGTGATTCTGAGGTGTGATAGCCTAATTTACTAGCACCTATTCCTATACAAACTAAATTGTTACCAGTACTAATCAGCTTTATGTCACAACAGGTTCTTGTTACTTCTTCCAGCTGTATTTGGTGATGACTAGTGCTCAGCTAAATGAAATGAGCCATCTTACACTTAAGCATTATTGTAGATATATATGGATGACTGGGCAAGATGTTTACTTAGCTACACAAGGCACCAAGATTCTTCTATTTATTTCTGTAATGGGAACACTTAAGAAGCATCATTGTAGATATATGTGGATGACTAGGCAAGATGTTTACTTAGCTACACAAGGCACCAAGATTCTTCTATTTATTTCTGTAATGGGAACACTTAAGAAGCATTATTGTAGATATATGTGGATGACTGGGCAAGATGTTTACTTAGCTACACAAGGCACCAAGATTCTTCTATTTATTTCTGTAATTCAAATAGCGTACCTTACCGTTAACAGAGCTACAGAGAGCAAACTAAGACTCCTTTCCTATCTCATACCCAACCTGTATCTACTTACAGGAAACCTTAACTATTCACTTTACCTTTATTGACCATTCCAAGTTGTGATATCAGTTATTGTTAATGTTAGCTTAAAATGAGGGGGGGGGAAGAAATATATGAATGTCTATGTGTTACATCTATGCTGCATTCACACATACACATCATGGCAGAGTCAGTAACCTTTGCTTTGTGGAAACATACACAAAAATGGAGAATAGGAAGATAAGTTTCATGTGCATCAAATAAAATCATGTTAGTATGGTTTCATTACATTTCTTATACAGTCTAGGAGTAAGCCATGGGGATCAGAGTTCATTTCATGAATGAATACAACAGAAGTTTTACTGAGAATTACTGAAGTTCATTTAGTCACCATCATGCATACTTGAGTTCATATCACTGTTTAGTAATGATACCACTTGCTTTCATCCTAAAAAACACTACATCACTAGTTTGGTTTATGAGAAAACCTCAAGGAAAAATGGCTCACATAACACAAGGTGTTATCATACTAAATGTGCAATACACAAAAGTACACTGACAAACATCTTCTCTTTTAGATCTCAGGTATATTTCACCTTTTCTTTGCCATAATGTTATCAGAACCTAATTACAATTTATAGAATAGGATATACAAAGTGATGATTACAAATACTTAAGTCTATTTTTTCATAAGAGTACCATAAAAATAATAAATGCTAATAAAACAATTTTGACATTTCAAATACACAACTTTTACTAAAAACAAAACATGTGAATGCTTTTC